ATGGAAGCATTGACGTTACTGTGGTTGTAGTTGCTCGCGTCAGTGCTGTTGTTGATGGCGCTGACGACTTCGTGAAGGAAGCCCAAGATGGCCGAAGCGGAACAAACCCGCGTCTATTATACTTTGCATTGGGCATACTGCGATGCGACACATAGTCAAGCATTTTTGCGGTAGCTAGCTCTTTTATCATCAAAGAAGGATTGGTCATCCTTTTCCTTTATGGATCATCGTCGCCTTTTTCTATCTCGATGTAGTAGCAACTTGTGTTGGCTTCTTGTAGCAACCTAGCGGACCTAGCGCGTAGAACGCAGCCTAATTGCGAAACTACGCGAATCATTCAGCGTTAACGCGGTGAGAATAGCAGTACTATATGTAATAACAACAACGGCAATAATCATAGACAACCCAGATATCTTCCAAAATTTCGGGGACACCGCCCAACCGGAGGATAGACACGACAGTGTAATGCAGAATTTCACTCGCCTCAAAAACAACGGAGCGAAAAAGAATATCGATATAGGGTAGCGGACAGGGATCGGACGCTAACAGCTAATTATAAGCACCGTTTTGACTCGTCAACGTAGATAGAACGTGAAAGCTTCGAGAACATATATTGGCTGCATATGTCTGTCGATGTACGCCAATTTTGATACCGTGAAGCTGAGGTCGACCTGCAGTTTTAGGCCGACAGACTTTTTTGTATCAATGCATCTTCAATTCAGCGTAATCCCAGAAAATGATTAATGTTGATTTAAATCGAATTTCAAATGCAGCCGATAGCAGACGCTTTCTTCTAAGTCGGAAGATATCTCTTAGAGCTGAGTAGATTTCAACCCCGTTCATATTCGAATTTCATGGATAGTAAATAACTAGATTTTACGCCTGTAACTAAATCACTGGGCAAAGTAAAAACGTATTCGATACCGTCCTTTCTTTCGCTTGCTTGTACTCGTGCATTTCGTCGTTATTTCCTTTACTGTAAAAATACCCAAGCTGACATTGGGCCCTGCCACTTCCACAAACTTGGCATCCATTTTCTTCTACATAAGCAATGATAATAATAATAATGTACTGTTTGTTTATCCAGGTTCACATAGCACTTCCAGTGAGTTTTGACCAAATGTCTATTCGAAGAGAAGTGTGAAGCTTAGATATAGCAAATATACACCTGTTGGCTTCGATGGCGGCAGGCAAGCTGAAAATACTCGAAATAAGAAGCGCACATGTATGATTTTTTCAATAAGAAGTCAAAAGCGACGGAGCTTTATTCGCAGAGGGCGTAACAGTGTAGTGGTGGCTGTAGCCGAGAAGAAGAACTACGGTTGAGATGGGAGAAGCGCATTAAAAGTCTCGTTGTTTGGCCAGTGTTGATGTCGTCGACACTCAACGGACGCTCGAGAGGCCGGCTCACTAACAAATCGCTCAATCAAACGGATACGCACCCTCTCCAATCTGACGTCAGCCGATCTATAATCAAATTGCCATAGTGCTTACGCATTGAGTATCGGTTCATAACCGCAGCGGTCGCGGGAGTAACAACGAACATAACCCCTCGCCCGCCCCCCCAGCTGTTCCGACTCTCCTGTTTTCCACTTCTTTCTAATGGTATGCCATCATCAACTTTTGCTTCTGACAGATCGAGTTTACTAAATATCACTAATCATTATGGCAGAACGTTGCTAGATGTGTTAAATAACGAAAAATGAATACGTTTGGAGCGGTTTTAATTTAGCACAAAGACGGAGAGTATGCGACATTACAAATACGATATAATTTCCGATTGTAGTTGTTGGAAGTTATGGGCAAGAAGCGCACGTATAGAATACTTTTAGGCATAGCTATCACGAGCCGATGATAGGCTTATGCCACTCGTTGTAGACGAAAAACGACATAAGAAGCGCGACTATTGAAACAAGCGCGTATTCCGTAGTATAATCCTGCCTGCGTTCGTGTGTGTGCGCGCGCGTATAAAATATCTAATGGAAATAGTTAAAATTATGATATGATCAGGTTTTCGAGTCTTTAAAAATGTGTTTCATAACAGAATAGCTGAGCACAGTCGTATTTTTTAAGTTACAAAAAAAAATAATTGCTAAATATCTCGCGAGTTCCTCTCGATATCGAAGCAGGCGACCGTCAATTGAATACGTTTAATTCTTGACTACATACGATATTGTATTTGGTTTTTCTTCTTTTACCCGTACAAGCCTGAAGCTTACTATATGTTATGGCTGTTAGTTGCCAAGGGCAAAGGGGAGATGAATATAGTTCGCAATCTGGATATTTTAATTTGTTAGTATTAGCAACAAATCGTTGCCTTTGGAAAAATGCTATTCAATGTTGTACGTTCAATGAAATCTAACTAATTAATGATCCAACCGTTTTCTAATTCCGTGTGCACCAACAGCCACCATAAGCATAAACATAAGCCAGCGATTTACTGTTCAGTAAAAAGCTACATTGCTATTGGCCATACGGTTTCAATTCCAAGCTCAGAAATAGATTAAATTTCGTACTACTACTACTACTACTTTCCACATGTATGAATGCGGGTACGAAGATAGCTATCTGTTCGCGACAAAACTACATACTACGAAATGAGAAGTAGAAGAGTCCGACCTACGACGTTGACCGCACGCTAAACAATCTCCAAAGTCGCCGTGTTTAACGAATACGCGCTGGTTGTAAACCTGCTATCGTAGCGCCCTGTGTATGAACTCGCTTGCGGAATATCGGAGTTGTTCACGCTAGTGTGCGGCAATGGTTAGCTCAATAGAGTCGTTCATGAGTCGCTCAAGCTAAAAGAACGAAAACGCACTTAAACCGTGGCTATGTGTCAGCGAACGTGATGGACATCTTGCTCATCCTTGCCATCGAAGAGCGTATACACCGCGATCGAATCTTTTCCTACGCGGAGCCACGTCGACGGTAACCGCAGCACTAGCAAACGGTTCAGCCAATGAGTTGATAGCCAGACCCGTCTCTTCGTTTCAGTACTAAGTAGTTTTAGCTTAAGCTTCCCCCGAGTGTCCGACCAGGTCGATGGACCGCCGGACTTGTAGTAATGGCGGCTTAGCTTGCTTGCATCGTAAACCCTGCTCACACACATGTGGGAGGACGATGCTAGATATGTATGTTTGGGGTAAAAAGAACGAGCCGGTTGGGGGAGAGTGGTCGACCAAAGTGGTTTTTCTACGGAGATCGAATGGATCAGCATGCCAGTAAGCGAGACAACTACTCCACTAATCGCTCAGTCCGTTGTGGGAAGAGCGTTACGGAAGAAGTAGAGAAATACGAGGAGAAAAGGGAGCCACCGAAATGGGGGAAGAGGATGATGCCTCGTTTCATTTTTATGACCCCCCCCCCCCTTTCCTCTGTGCCTTTGCCACCACCTCTGCTGTTTTAGGTCAAGACAAACAGACACATGAAAATTACACTGTCAGCCATTTTTTGCCGCTAGATTTTCTATATTTAGCTAATAAAATATTTCATGGCAAACATTTTATCTCCAACGCAAACCATGAATATACATTGTAAAGTGCAACCAAATACAAGATGAATAGAACCATAAAAAGCTTGTTATCGATTTAATAACAATCGAATGCGCGTCCCTTCAATAATACGTAACATACAAATGACCCAGAGGGATTAGAAGACAAAAAATGGGATGATGGTATCAGGTTTTAACCGTTTCCCCTTTCGTTCTAAAGCTTAATGCGTGTATTTTAACTTTGTTTAATGGCACAAAAATAGGCAAACATACGATCCAGCTTAAATGTATTTATTTTCTTATATGATATAGTTTGGCTAACGAAACAACTTTTATGGCAGTACATGCTTTGCTATCAAATATATAAACCTAGTGAAGTACCGCATTTGTCTTGAAGGTACGTTGTTGTCTGTTCTAGTTAATGCAATAGCCACGCATTTAATTGTTGTACGATGAATAGTACGCTAGAATATAGTATTCGTGCGCTGCTTGATGCTCGTACCTCTCTCGTGCTTTATGTTTTCTAACAAGTTTTCCCTTGGAAAACTATGCTTATACAAAGGAACAGGATGTTTATTCAGATATAGTTTAATTATGGCCAATAAACGATAGCGTTGGTTTATTTGCCGTTACGTACACCGAATTCACCAGATTTAGCTGTTTGTCATATCGGATACCAGCATAAATATAATAATATACATAAAACTCGTAAAATACGTATTGATACTCGCATCATTCCAAGTATTAGATATAACTGTGTGGTACTATAATAATAGATACAACATTAGTCAGCTAGTCGTAACTTCGTTCTTCTTTTTGTTGTATATTTTTTCTGTTCATATGCCTAACATCTTCTAAACGCAGCTTTTTCAGGCTCAATGACCCTTAAAATGACTCTGAAATAGGCTTTTTTTCGTTAGTTTCCTACAACGCATGTACGGGCATTGCGCCCACCGACTGAAGGGCATTACAAGGCCAGCGAGTATTATTATCGGTGGTTTGACAACATCCAAACACTTCTCCCTTTCGAAGTGATTGTTTAATCAACAACATTATATTTATTCCCTGGCAATTGTGGTTGGGTACATAGAGCTAAAACCCGCGCAATGCTCGACTCCAGAGGCAACCATACGCTTACCAAATCGAAGTACACACGATTTATTGGACAGTATAGAAATATAAGGTCTCGAGAGCACGTGCATTAGTTATTCACGTCGGATATTGGCTTTCCGTCAGCGAAGGTAGCAGCGGCAGTAGTAGAGGTTCTAACACTACTAGCTACAGTGGCCAAAATAGTAGCGCTAAAGTGATAAAATTGATTTAATAATAAGACACATTCGAGCTGAAATAGTTGGCAATCCATACCTTTTGTGCATTTACTTAATCGACTGGTCACCAGCAGAACAGGGAGTCACAGAGGGAAGATCCCGCCATCGTTCCCGATACAAATATCAATTTTCTTTGTGTATTGTTCTGACGTTCAAAGAAGCTTTTTCCTCTGCTTCTTGGTGTATCTTTGCCGCGAAAGTCTATGTATCGGGTTGGTTGGTTGGTGATTTCCGTTTTGGTTAGCAGAACGCTACGCACGAACGTGCAGTACCTTCGCGGTAACAATAACGATGCCTATGACTGGCGAAAGCCTGATGCGACTTTGCACTATGAATTTCAAATGAATATGGAATCTAGCGACTATTTCCAGCGGTTCGCGCGTAACAAAAAGCTTCATTGTCTGCTGAAGTATACCAACACGAGAGCAGACGAAACGACGAGAGGTAGGTTTATAGAGGAGGGAGGAAAAGTTTGCTGAGCATGCGTGTCGATGTGTGGATCTTAACATATCTATCATGTTGCATATCATACCAGAGCGGTCAACCGTTAGAAGAAACAACTGAGATGTAGGTAATCGTATGACGCGGCACGGCTTAAGAGGCTGACGTCCTCATATTATTGTTGTCGCTCTCTGAAGTCTTCGATGCGGTTGTTTCGTCTACCTCTCGTCTGCCATTACCGACAGTCACATCACCGTAATCCCAATATCACGATAGAATCATGGGGTTGATCGGACGGACTTTGCTCATAGACCGCTAGTTCGTATCGAGTATGTAAATAATTAGTTATATAACTAAAAATAAGCTGTTATCTTTTTTAACGTTGTGATTTGTTTTAAAGGTTCGTTCACCACTTCGCCAGCTATTCGAATATGTAGTCGTACACGAGCGGCAATGTTAAAAAAGGCTATGGAGGCTGTGCTTACAGCTAGGACTGGGTAGATATGCTCTCGTACTTTGTTTTCTATTGGCGGCCTCAGCAATTACAGGAATGCTTAATGATATTCTAAGGAACTTCTGTCGAAGCTGTTATGTCAACGTAACTGTTTGCACATTTACATGCTCTTCTCATTTAATTTTGTTATTATTGCTATTGTATGTCACGACTGGGATCTTGTTTTGTTGATGTCCCGAACAACTGTTTGTTACACTCTTTTATGGATCAAGTTCAGATTGAAAATGTGTGTTTGTATATGTGTGTATAGGCGATGAGACAGCTAAAAACTTCCGTTACAGAGGCTTTATGAATAAGCGAGAAGCCGCAAAGCCAACTGACCTGCCGATTGATATACGCGATCCACTAAGAATGCTATCGCTAAAAGCATGACAATGAAAAATGTGCGCTCCCGCGAAATTAAGCATGTGGACAAGATCTGCTTGTGAGAGCTGACTGTCTTTTCCAAAAATTGACCTGCAACTGACAATGGACCGCGAGGTTTACAATCAGACCAACGTTGAGACTAGAGATCTTTTGGCGTTTGTGCTCCGGACAAATTTCGAGCCCGCCATGGAAACGACTGCGGGACATGATGGGTAAAAACAATATGGGGAAAAATTTAATTTTCGTGAAGGAAAATAATATAAAAATACGCCGGAGGATCAGGTATACTGCCTCATGCTTGTATATACTGAAGAGGGCTATGTCAGTTGGTACATTCGTGGACTTGTTTTTGTCTGTTTTGCATGTCGGAATGAGCTTGCTATTATAGGTTCCAGCGATAAGCGACGTTTATCGTTATCAATTTCAAGTCTGTATGAATATTTTATGTGTCTATAAGTGCTGCTAGAGCTTCTGCGACTTCATATAGCTTTGCAATTCATCAGAAAGGTAAATCCGCTGTACAAGCGAATTAGAAAATCACTATTATACATAGCGACCGAACATAAGAACGATATTATGCTTGTTTGTTTGTTCATATCAGGCAAATAACAGTGACACAATTAGGATTTGACTTCCCAGCTTACTACGGGAAAGTACTTGAGAAGTCCTAGTCATTCCGAAAGCCCAGACTCTAATGTTATTATTCTGGTACGGGTCCTATAGTGCAGAATGCTTTTCAGAGACCAACCGAGCTTCTTTTGGATTGCGGTTAATACGTAGAAAAAGTGAAGAATTGACAATAGATTCACTAAATTCTAAATTCATCAGACGCTTTATTAAAGAGATTAAACGAGGCGTGTTCGCAGTAGAAGACCTATCATCTTTCGCTTAGTCACTTATATCTTCAAGTGAAAAGTGTACCGTTGGTGCCCGCGCAGCGATAATCGTCATACAGCTAATAAAATTGTTAGTGTAGGGCCTACAAGCCGCTAGAGGCCAGCCAAACAAAGAGCTCTTGGCTGACGTATTTATCTCAGTTTTGAAACTTGTGCTTGTTATTGGCTAAAAAAAGTTGAAGCGTTTATAAATCTTACTAAATAAAAATAACGAATCTTGTATAGGAAGATCATTCGAAGCAAACTTCACAGGAGCGAACTCTGAAACAAGCGTCCTCTTTTTAATTTAACTCACTTTAGAATTATCGAGATTCAATATATGGTACCCAGGTCGATACGTACGACTAGAAATATTTTGTTTCAGCTTTTATAGTTTTAAGGTCGGTTAAATACATTAACGATCTGGAAAACTATTAAAGCCCAAAACCAAGAACTAGTTGTACACGAGATATCTGGAAATGGTTCCAACGTACGCATCATCGTTGGGCGGCGCCTCCTTGTACTTCTATCGTGTGTATCCAGTTCATCAAACGCTAACGCTTCAACGCGACAAAGCTAAATACGGCATTTTCTCTGTCGTACTTGTGCGCTTGAGCGATGCTCTGAAGATTTGTTAACGATATGGTAAAATACTTGATACCTAAATTGTCCGTCGATCTGCTCACCGTTTGAAGAGAAATCGACCTCCATCGTCCTAATAAAAATTCGGATATGGGCAAATGCTTCAACCGCTAGAAAAATATTCTCCCCAATTGGTATATCTTATTATAGGATGTTCGGCCACCGACGGCGCCTCATAGTAACATTCAGAAGATGAATTGGGTAATCATTAAAAAGCAGAAAGGATTTGCTTCCTTTCGCTTCTTTTCTTTTATATCCACTGCTCTACCTTTTTAATAGAACTACAATGTGGAAAAGACGAACTGGTTGAAAAGCATACTCGTATCTACTTGTAACTATTTATTGCCCAATTAATAAAGCGTATATATAATTGAAATAAATTCTTGATTAGTTCGAGCTTAGCAACGACAGTAAATAATGTTCGTCACAGTGATCCGGATATTATTATTATTTGACTGACAAATCCTTCACGGCAGTTTGAATGGGTCGTTGCCTTACCAAGTCGAAGACGTAATGGCGAGACGTTATATTTTCGAGGTGACGCGCCGTAGCACTTCTGGATAGGCACAAGCTTCACCACACTCATTAGGTAACGAAAGTTAACTTGTTGAAAACAAGGCGGGTCCCTAAACGTATTCTAGAATTCTGTTCGATCATGATAGCATTAAGCTGTGCGGTAGCCCTTCTGGTCGTCGAAATGTAACTGCGGCCGCAGTTAAGCTCAAGCGATGCCGATGCTAGAACGAAATTAAGAAACGACTGCAAATTCAAAATTTAGACCAGATAATTAGTCACGTTACTACGAACGTGTGTTTTAAATACTTATTGGATAGTAATCCGCTTTAACCGTTATTGTTTATAACAGTGTAGTTTCTTTCCTTAATGTGCTGTGATCTAATTATAAATAAGGACTACAGTCCCTTTGGGATGCCGTAGACAAATTTCGGCGATGCAAAAGCCAATAATTTCGTGTTAGCACCGCGATTGCGTTGTCATTCCATAGAGGATTACTTACCTGACAGGTCGTCTCTTGGTTCTGTATATATATATAAATCTATTTTTCCGACATGCGCAAATGCTCACCTCGGAATAGATAGAGGCTTGGCCAATCTTAAAAGTTTTGGATAATCTGAAAAAATCTGCGAGTGAGGATTTAAATATACAGCAAACACTGTTACGAGTACATGTAGTGTTTTTACTTTTTTTATATTTTAAGGTCGCCGTCTGGCCACATTAGTTCATATTGTGTTTGTGTCATGTCTGTGTTTACGCAGACAGCACAGGCGATTCTGACACGCTAGTTAGGGCCTCATGTGCTTAACGAAGTCGGCGATTGACACTCCGCTTAAACGATCTATATGCTTGCAATAGATACGGACACATTGTTAGCTCTCACATTGAAGCTATCTGTGCGCGATAACTTCAATGTGAGAGCTTGTTAAAATCATCGTCGTCGTCGACGTCGTCTTGCCGCATTTACTAAGCTTGCTGAATTGTTTAGATGTAGTACTTCGACTTATTTTATTATTGCTTTTTCTCGCTTGTCTCCTATCTCATTACTATTAGTGAATATCTGCTCAGTCTCCTCAGAGCGCCTCGGCCAATGACGAAAGCTACTGGAGAGCAGAGCGCGCGCGGATTTCGCTTTGAACTCAGTGCTTGACAGTAATACATAGACACCAATTTGACCATCTGACGATAGCTGTCGTTGTCGATAATCTGTTCGGTCGTCATCTGTTTTCCGCAACGCATTAAGTATCTATCCATCCATCCATCCATCCACATATATCCGGCGCAGGGTGTGAATAGTTTGCAAGTTGAATACGCGCCGATAGCTTTGTGGAATGGATAGATTTGCGTCGTTAGGTTTACTTCAAGGTGGTAATGTCGACAACAGCCATGATATTAGTTATTGTTCTTAGTACTATAGATATGCAGGGCTAGCAGGTGAAACAAGGCCGCTGTAACTATCAGTACACAACTGATGATTTGGCGGAAACAGCAAGGCGCATATTGAAACTGGCCGGAGACGATCGGTAGCGACGACGTATAGCTTTCTGGCGCTCCCTCAGATGATCATGGCACTATATCGACGACGAGCAATAATCAACGCTGTAAACGGGAATCATTGTTGGGGGAACGTACATCGTAAGGTCAGCCAGTTCATCTTGAGCGGCCATCTTTTTCCTGGAAAGTTTTCCTAATGTTATGGAGCATCCCGTAAGAAACATGTTAGATTTAGAAAATTTGTACCGTTATACGTCCATTATATATTGTACAGGGTCTGCAGCTATCCTATAGCTTTGCTTCCCGCAGCAGCTCTGATAGATTAGGGAAGTGACGCTTGTGGACGACCATATATATACAAGACAATATTGTTTTTCGTATATTCTTTTTTTACATGAAGCCGTTAGCGCGTGTTGCCCGCTAGACTAGCGTAACGTTATCGTTACAATCGTCTGGCTAAGTTACAGCCTCCGATCTTAGTCATCAATTCATCCTACTTGTCAGAGGAACAGGCATAGTCATTGTAAACCAGGAGTAAATAGGTACGGGATCTGATTATTGTCATAACAATAGTCAGCGACAAAACGTAGCGGACTATTAGATACCGAAATACAGAACTTGCTGGAAATGATAGAACTCAGAAGTATGTATACACAAAGGATATTGAGCAGTGTATCTAATTCTACCGCCAGCTGGCAGATATATTTAAACGTAACCCTGAAGGACACATTCAAATAGCACAATTATCTTAAATCTATCAAAACGGAACAACTTTTTTTTTATATAGAGTGTTGTTTTTATATAGTAATGCTGTTGTCGCACCGTAAATAGAGGCTTTATATTACTTATTACACCAACACACTGTTTTCGTTCAACCCTTTGTGATAAAAGTGCGCACGCAATAATCTATAGAGGTAGTAGCAAGGTCACCAAAAGCGTGCCCAGGTCGCAATCGGAATTCAAGATCATGCCATTTTAAGCTAATCCCTCTTACGGATAATTACGAAAGTTAATGAAAGCGAGCATGTGGGCACGATTCAAGCACATCATCAGCGTGTCTCAGACTGTGGAGGTAGTAAAATATATTCATCTCTGTCATACGTTCTCTGTTCTGATATAAATTTGCTTACGACGACAGTAGCCGTATAACTATTGAACAATGGTAAATCGTGTCTATTCCGCGCAGAAGTGGCCCGATCAACTAAGTTTGCCGCCTTCCAACTAAGATTGGCCTTATTTTCGAGGCTCTGCTACCAGCAACAGTTACGACTCGCTAGGCAAGCTCCATTACCGATATAGCGGTGCAGGCCGAATTAGGGAACCCATGCGCTGTCGTCGTCGTCGTCGTCGTCGTCGTTGTTCTTGCAACTACAGTTGCTCTTATAACGAATGTATTATCCTCTACTATTATATCAGCCTCGGATTGTGTGGCGGATCTGTCTGCTATCGGGTTGAGAGCGTATCATATGAGAGTTACATTTGTCTATCGGCTGGACTAATGCACATAGCTACATGTACACCGATATCTATATTTAATATACAGTTTCCCCAATTGAAGGTCCCCCTACGATCAGGCATCTAATCAAAACTGTGATATTCGTGGTTTATCACTGTCACCGGTCATCTTCATTAGTTGACAGCCGACCACTGGGATTTGTTTAGATCGGCGGCGCTCTTTAGCCGTGCAATTGGCACGATACGAAGCAAAATTTAATTTAAATTATCTGAGTTGGTAGCACAGTATTAAGACTTTCATCGAGTGGTCACTGCTGTGTACGATTGTAGATGTACGATCGTTATCTAGTTGCAATAGATATATTATTGTTAAGTTTCGCTTGTGGAATAGGAAAATGTTGTCAAAACTTAAC